AGAACAAAGAATAAAGTCGGTCAAATACTAACTGACTGATTTCTTGGGGGAACATTTCTATGCATATGAAACTGCGTTTTACTTCATTGTTAATTATCGGTAACAATCGATAAATTTTTGGTAACATTTTTGTTTAGCATCTTTTGACATCTGGCAACACTGCTCAAACGTTATTTGGGAGTTTTTTTTTCCAATATCAATTTTTTTTTCTAATATTGTAAATGTCGAGTTTTATACCCACAAACATCGTTGCATTTCTGCTTTCTTTTAAAGAAAACTGCTGTGGAAACCCAAAGCATTAGAAGTTGCCAAGTTGCCTGGTTTAAAAATTTTGGAGCGGTGAATTTGGAGTTGAGAATGTAGAGCACGGAGGACCACAAAAGAAGTTTCAGGACACTGAATAGCAGGCGTTGCTTGATCGGGACGATGGCCAAACCATACAACCGTAAATAGTTACAGATTGTCATGACATAAATCCTCCCACAATCTTTAAGGCAAATAATAATTATGAAATCACAAAACAAATACTGATCTTTTAAAGTACAATCGCTATAACCTTTTTTATAACCTTTTGACCTTATTTTTTCTGCTCTTTTTAACCTCATTACTCTTAGTTGACGTGCTGCTATGTGCCTACAATGCCAAGCTTGACAAAATAAAATGAAAAATTATTGCGCCAGCAAATGAAGAAATTTTTCATTCTATCGAATTACAATTCAATTGCCTTCAATGGCATGTGTTGTCCTGATACCTGCCCCCTCTTTTCGCTACTTCTATTCACAAACACACATACAAAGACGTATATATACACACACACATATATACCCAAAAAGTATACAAAAACACACAAGGACACACACATTCGCTTACATATAGAAGTCAAATCTAATAATCAGCTTGCCACCTAACGAATGTGAAAATGTTGATGGTGGAAAATAGGGAAGAAAGGTTAAGGGGCAGAGAGAGGTAATGCGGAGAGAAGAAAAATTAGGAACGGGAAAAATGCGGTTGCTGCTGGCGGTGACATTTGAATTTTTGGCCATTTTAGCGCAAATTTCTTCATTCTTTTTTTTTTTTTTTTTTTTTTTTTTTGTATTTTGTTGTTGTTTTTGTGCTATTTGTTTCTGTGTTACCCCCAAAACTCATGATTGTTTGGTTTTGGTTTTGGTGGGGTTTTTCTTTCCTTTCTTTCAGTTCAGTGTGCTCTTTTGCCGGAAAATAACGTGACATGCATAAATAATTGACTTTTCACAAAATGCGCTATGGCAGTGGCAGAAGCAGCGGCAGCGGCAGCAAACAAACAAACAAAGGCACCGGGCAACAAGAAAAGCAACAACAAACAAGCGGAAATGAAATATGGCGGAATGGTAAAAATGGCGAAATAGTGAATGCCAAAATGGCGGCAGCCATATTGTATTTGTAAGTCCAAATGCGAGAGAAAGACCGAAGGAACAGGGAGCAGTCAGAGAGCATCCAAAATGCCATAAAATATTTATTTGCATTGCAAAGGCAGCTGCCACATGACGAAGGAAAAACCAGATAAACGAGAGATAACAGAGTAAGCGAAAGACGAAGGAATAGGGAAGAAAGAAGAGACAACAGACAGGAACAAGAATATATATTTTACAATCTGCCCGCAGTCATAACCAAGCAACATCGTTAAAAGGCAGCGAAAAGCAAATAACCTTTCTGATTGACAATTAATCAACTAAATGGAAATGTTATTATTACAAACTTTTTCTCTCTCTCTCTCTCTGTATATATATTTATAGTATATAGATATATATAAACAAAGTATCCATATAGAAGGTACACAGTTTGAATTCATCTAAATGGACAAATCAATTTGGCAAAATGAAAGCCAAACAAATGGTAAAGCGAGTGGAAAAAGGGAAATTTCTAGCGGTCCATGAACCGAACTCCAAACTAAAAGCATAAATATTTAGACAAAATCTATTTTATACAAATAAACCCACAGACCGACCGACCAATTGTTTGGCTAAAGCTGTTACAACATTGTTGAGTGGCCACTTTACGACAGATTTTAGGGTATATAGGGCTTTGTTGATTTTGGGAATTACAAAAGAAACTTATTTTTTTGGGATATATTTTTGAGTATTATAGTGTTATCTTAGAGAAGTGATAGGTTAAATTTCTTAATGATAGTGAAAATATTTTAATAATCTTCGCAATTTAAGAATAACCCAAAAAAAGAAATATTTCTTAAAATAAAAAAAACCACCATTAATACATAGCTTAAAAACCATTTCCCCTATAATCCCCAAATTTCAAATGGGCACCGGGCGAGTCTGGCCCATATTTTAGTGTAGCTTTTTTTCCTGCAATTTGTCGCAAAGTTTTTTTGTCACCCACCATCGCCGACTTTTCCCTGCCGCTTCTGGTTTTTATGGCCAATTTATAAACTCGGCGGCTTTCGCTGCGAAAGTGAGCGAACAAATACTTTTACTTCTTTTGTGTGCCATAATAATTTATAAGCCATTTTCACGAAACTGTTGCTGTTTTCTGGCATTCTGGGCACTTCTGGAAAAGCAGCTCTCACATGGCTTTCTTCTTCACTTCGAATGGTCAATTGGAAATGGCCACCATTCAGAATTATTAATAGGCGGCTTTGTTCCGATCTTTTTGTTAAGACTTCTTTCTGGCGGAATGAACAGCACATTTCTGGGAGTAAATTCAATTCAATTTTGGTTAAAATGTTTTCAATGTAACTGCCTGCCTGCCTGCCTGCCCGGGAGTTTTGTAATTGCATATGGTGTGGTGACATATGCCAAAAATGTGGCTGCAACTCAGCCTGGAAACGAGGAAACGAGAAAAGGCCAACACGAAAAGGGAGCACAGTTTTTTTTTGGGGGGGGTGGGGTGGTTGAAAGGACATTTTGTGCAGTCGACTGTACTGGAGAACTTGGATGTCTGCGTATTGTCCTTTCCATGTTTGCCCTGTTGTGTTGTGTACTTTATGACTTGTAGTAGTCACTCGAGAAGATCCACATCGCCTCCGCCCACGTCGTCTAGCTCTCCCCTCCACTTTTTTTGTAGCATTTTCAAAAGTTTTTCCAGTGAGATTGCAAGCAAACATTTGCAACATTGTTGTTGTAGTGGTTGCTGTTGCTATTTGGGTTTTTAGCATGTGACGCCATTTGTGGCACAGTCTTGCACACAGACCCCCCTACCGCTCTCCTCTTTCTTCCTCTCTTTTCAGGAAACTACGCACGTTGAAAGCAAAAGCAGAAAGCAGAAAGCAAGAACCCAAAAACCCAATAGCACTTTTTTACCCACTCTTCAAGCTGAAATGGAACTAAAAGGGATCTAGAATTCTTGGCCCACACACCCATACCCTTTAACTTCTTCCTTTTTCAATCCTGCGTGTTCGAAAGACCATCTGTGTATGTGTGTGTGAGTTTGTGTGTGTGTGTGCGAAAGAGTCCTTAAGTGTTGAACGGGCATTGTTGCTGTCGCCGTTTCTATTGTTACTTGGTTATACCCTATTTATGATCTTTTACCCTTTACCCTTTATCCTGCAACCTATATCCTATACCCTAGATCTAGTCCTAAGAATAAACAAAGAGATTTACAATAATTTTTAAAAATCTAAACACAATTTGGAAAAGTATTTACTAGAAATATTAATTATTAAGCAGTTTTTAAGTTCAAAATTTGATTCAAAATGTTAAAAAAAAATATATAAAATATTATATTAAACCAATTAATAATTTAACACTTCACAGCAACTTATCCTGACTAGCAAAATCATTTTCCTCCTCCGTTTAAGTGCACTTTTCAGGGAATTAACCAAGTGTCTAAGTTTGACCAACCTTTTACACTTATTTGCAGTACCAGTCAGAGGCTTCCGTTTTCTTCCCCTTTTTTCCACTCCCTAACTTTGACAAGGGGAGGTGGAAAATGTTCTACCCTTTCCCCTATTTTTTCCCTCAGTTTTTCTCAGGTTCTTTTAGGGGGGGAAAAAGGAAATTTTTTGCCTTCGCTTCACCGCTTTGTTTACGACCAAATCCAAAACAATGGCATTTTTGCACATGAGCGCATTTAAGCCAAGTTCTGCTGTCGTCATAGTCGATGTTGTTGTTGTAGACGTTGTTGTTGTTGCTTTTACACTTAAACTAAACTTTTCAGCTGCCATTTTCTGGTTCTCCTTCCGTGTGACTAAGAGTCTTCCTGGACTCGATTTGTGCTGCATATTTAATCCTTTTTTTGCCTGCCTTCCCTTCCTCTCCTCTTTTCTACCATTTGGCCAGAAGTGAATTATTACGGACTTCTTTCCGCCTCAAACCGAAGGATATCTGGGCCAGCTGGCGGACACGGAGAGTAGTGTTCAGTTTTGCTCCTTTGGAATCGCAATTGCCCGAATCATTCGACTCATTGGCTTGCCATTGCCATTTTTTCCCTGCACTTTTGCCCCAAACCAACTCATCTTTGTTTGCCGTTCGCATTAGTAATACAAATTGCACGAGAAAAGTTCAACAAACTGCATTAAAAATAGAGCAAGATGGATTTAAAGAAAAAGAAAAGCAGAACACACACTTTGACTGATCGAAGAAAACTTTGTTAAATTTGGTTTACACCAAGCTAAGGAAATTTTTAAAGCTTTACCATGGATTAAAAGTATTTTCAGAGCTTATAGATCAAGATTAGTTAGCTAAAACTGAAAATCCATAAACAAATACCATAAATTTGTAAAATACGAGAATATATCATTCCAATCCAATCTCTGCATACAAATAATTTTAAATATTTTTAAATCTAACATATATCCACAACCGAATGTCCGCAAAACAAATCAAAAAGCACTGCCATAAATTTCATTAAACTGCATATTTCGAAATATTTATATACCGTATATAGACTTAATTGAGTTTATGGCCGACCAATGGCCAACGAAAATTTCATTGGAAAAAGCAATTTATGGAAAATGCATTACAATAAAACGTAGAGGAATATTTTTGGGAATAAAAAAAACAACTTACCATCGATATTAATTGGCGGAACCGTAACGCACTTTTGCCTCAAAGTTGGTTCCGTTTGGTTGCCTTCAATTTGTTATGGCCAACGGTGCTGCTGCTGCTGCTGGAAAAAAATCAGAGAAAACAAACGAATTGGAAATATAAATAAATTGATTTATGATGACCACAGGAAATCGATGAATCAAATGCACGGTTAAGCAATAAAGCCAAAAGGCCGCCCCTTTAATAAATGTCCGGAATGATAGGCCATCTTTCGTAGGATATTATTATTCATTTTCAAGGCAAAAGTTTAGCTATGAAGGGATCTATTAAGCTTGAGGTTTATATCAACAAAAATCTTTAGGTGAGCGCGGATATCAAAACATTTAGGAAATCTCACAAGATTAGTAACTATAAACCCATTAACTTAAGTTTTTCTACTTCCCTTACCAAACTAGCTCTTCTACCATTCCAGCACATAAGCCCAAAACCATTTTCCCTGTTTATTGACTTTATCGAGTGTCAAAAATACCATCATAATCAGCAGAGCCAATAAAAACACAAAACAGAAAGTGTCCAAATACAAATAACAAAAATCTCCAGCTATTTGGCAGAGAGAAAGGACGAAACAATATCGAGGCACTAAATCACAAAAATAGAAAAGCAGCCAGAAAAAAAACATTATGAAATCAACGAAGCTCCGCCACAGCGGGCTGCCCAATATGAAAAGGGAAAAACTTTGGTGGAGGAACATTACTTCGGAGTATACTTATGTCATATTATTGACGATGATGGCAAATGGACCAGGAATAAAGAGTGGGGGGCATGGAAAAGTGGTTGGGGGTCTGTCTGTCAGCAATTTCATCAGCTTAAACTGATGACAGTTGAAAAATGTGCTTCCACTTTCTGTGCGTTTTTTGCATTTTTTCCTTTTTGCTGTTTTTTTGTATATTTAAAAATACATAAAATGGCGGTTGACATTTGACGAAGGAAGAAAAACGCGAACGGAACACGGAGAAAAAACTTTTGAAAACAAAAAATAAGAATTTTCAATGAAATTGATTAAAAGGACTTTTAGTTCCCAGTAACGTATCTTAGGACTCATCAAATCCCCCAACTTTCTGTATAAATAAGCAATTTTAGAGCTAAAACTTAAACTTTTGTATATTTTTCTCCCTGTTTAGCCCCTCTGCCTGTGCCCTGTTTTCCTCCTTAGCTTTGGAGAATGGCGGCTGAAGGCAGCTGGTTGACATTTGGCAAAGTGTGGCGCCTCAGCTTTATGCAAATGACGTGCGCTACCTTTGAGCACTGCTTTTTTGTGGATACCTCAATGCGGCCTGCCGAAAATCAAACAGCAAATCGAAACCATCGCCGCAGGTGTCCTGTGACATTCAAGCCACAAAGTGTCGGCCATTTCAAACGACAAATCGGCCGCAAACATTGTCAAATATTGGCACCTCAGAGGCATGTCACACTCGAACCAGCAGAAACCAACGAAAAACCACCCACATCTAGGACATCTATATAGAATATCCAACATAAGACCGCAAAGTGGGAAAGTTCTCTCTTACCCAGAAACTTTTCCACACGCCAGAACAATTTGTTTCGCTTCGAAGGCAAATCCTGCGGCCGGCGTTGTCCTCAGCATAACAAATATTGCCTGTAATTTAATTAATCTCCCACGAAAGTATTAAAGTTTGACCTGAAGCTGAATGGGGATGTTGGTGGTGGGATTACCACAGTAAACTTTCACAGCTGCAAAACTATTCTTGATTTATAAAATTAAGTTGGGAGTGTTGAAGTGGACATTAAAGTGTAGTCTGGCTATGAGATAACTTTATTTTAAGCTTAAATTGGATTTCATAATAGAGTTTTTCTATCTTATTTAAAGCATTTTAAATCCTTATCAATAACTTCTCCCTTAGCGAGTATTTACTGTTCCCCTTAGAACTTTGGATATCAATTAAATTCAAAACACAAACATAAAGCTGGGGGCAGTTGGGGTAGGCTAGGGCTCAAAATCTATTAGTCTGCCCAGCCAGAAAGTTTGGCCAATTCAGGCACGCACTTTGATTAATTTTAAGACAATAATCATAAAGGAGGTTCGGGTCTATCCCATTGCCCTATCACTCTCTAGCACTCCATTGCTGTCTCGCTTGCACTCATCTTAATGTGTTTACGTGCCTGCTAGAATCTCTATAGCATACTTATCCGGGCGGTTCTTCTTCATAGACAAGCCAAGCACGTCCCTTTTGCCAACATCTTTCCCTCTCACCCTCTCTATCGCGCTTCTCTCTTTTCCGGGTTAGTTAATTTCGACGCCTTGCAGGCAGGAACTTTAAGTCGATGGAAAACTTAATCAAAGTTCCTTACGGCGGCTCCCGTAGTTCCTGGCTCCTTGTCCTGCTACAGCTGCAAAAGTTTCTCTTTCGGTTCAGTTTGGTTTCGGCCCAAAAGAGTTTTCGGCACGCAACACTACGGCCAATGGCTTCGTTAACTCGTCCGAGGATAGACCCTTCCCAATGTCTCCTATCTCTCTCTCTTTTCATTCCACTGTTTTCACCTGGCCAAACGGTTTGCGTGTTTGGATGTTATTTATAATACGCTAAGCTCGCTGCTCGCTTCTCCCTTTTGGCCTCGACTGCAGCTAACCGGAAGCCTTCAACTTGACCAAGGCGCCGGTGAAAAAAAAAAATCAGTACTTCAAGTTCTCACAGTAAGAAAAATATTGAACAAGTCCTTGGAAATGGGATATTTAAGTTAACTAACTAATATTTAAAGGCTCAAGCTTTTTGCGGCTAAGCAAATCTTAGAAGAAACTTTACAGATAGTTCTTTTTATACCGATCTTGATTCTTAATATTTTTTTTCTCAGTGTTTTAGCACCTTTCTCCACCCTTCGGCAGACACTCTTCAATGGGTTTTGCCTTTGTGGCATTTAACTTTTAATTGGATTTCAGTTTTGGCTTAGTTAATGGCGAAATGAGTTCAACATTCGCTTTTGCTACTACTAATACTACTAGTACTTTTATTGTTGTTTTTGCTGTTGTTGGTGTTGGTCTGTGGAAAATATTAGCGCATAATTTCAACAATTACTTCCACTGACTGACCACCAGTGCTGACCGACCTGGTCTGCTTAATCATTTGCATATTTCATTAGAGTTTCAGCTTTTCATTTTGTGTTCTCTTGAATAATTATCCTTGAGTTTGAATCAGTTTGAACGAGACTGCGCGCTAGTTAAATAAGTAAGATTAACTTTTTAACTAATTTTCCAGGAAATCCAGTCTTAAATTTTAAGAATCTTTGCGGTTTTCCACTCTCGCATAAAAGGTCATTCGATCCCTTACCTTCGCAAATTCCAAAGAATAATTTCCATATTAGGTTCATTGAATTGGATTAAAAGGCGACCCGAAAGAGGGCCAGGGATAACTTCTAGGAAAAAATCCAGGAAATTCCTCACTCAGCTTAACCAAAAATTTCTCGACAAGCGAAATGCCAAATAACCCCCCAACAAAAAAAACTGGAATCTAACCTCTCATCACCCCCTGGCAAATTCCCACCCACACCATCCATGTAAGCACATTCAGCACCATCAACAATTTATCACAGCAAACTGAACGAAATCTCATTTGCAAAAGCAGCCAAAGTAGCGAGGGTCGGGGTAGGGAAGTTTACCAATGTTCAGAGCTTGTCAAACTGTTCAGCACGGGCAAAGAAAAAAACCCCACAAAATAAGGGAAAAACATGACCAGACGGTAGCTGCGACAAAGCAAATTTATGCTTTCGGGCGGGCAACAACCAAAATAAAAACCAGGAAAAGCGAAAGGAAATGCGTGCAAAAGGGTTCCAGGGGAGTCTGGAAAGTTAGAGGGAAATAAATAAGGAAATAATGTTTAACTTTCCTCGGAGCAAGGAGCAATCAAATGCTACAAGCTGTGCCTAGGGAGATTTTTGGCCATCTCCCCAGACTCATTTATCAAAATCAGCCAGAGAAATAAAGAAATATGAGACTCGAGTCGGGCAATTTACAATGCTGATCCCAATATGATTGCCGGGCGAGCGGAAACACAACTAGAAAGAGTGAGACGTGTAACAAAGTCCTTCGTTTCTTTTGTCCTTTGTCCTTTGGCATTGAAAAATGAAAAAATTTCCCATCAGCAATCAACAAAAAAGAAAAATAAAATAGGAAAAAACAAAAGGAAAAGTCAACAAGCAGCTAGTGGATGCAACCACTTGCTGGCTATTTAAAGAATGTGTCACCTTGCACAAGCATCCTGCAACACCACCCCCCAACCCCCTCCCACCTAACACAAATGAATCATACTCCTTCTTTTTATTTGGCCACTGGCAAAATTGTTGCAGGAAAATTTACGCAAACATTTTGCTCTGGCAATCTGCAGACTTTATGGGCGGTTCGAGGGTGACTCAACTTTGTCTTTTTTCGGGAAACGGCAATGTGTGTGTGTTTGTCAGGAGTCTTTGTCTCAGTCTGGTTGGTTAATGGCGCAAAAGGACTTTAAACTTTTTTATTGTCAAAGCTGCAAAAGTTTTTAGTCATCGCTTTGGTTATGCGCTGTGTGAATTCTACACTTTATTGCTGAATTATACAATTTAAAGATAGAATTGTTAGATAAAAGTCATAGTATTTCGGACAAAGTTGCAATCTGCCAATGAATGGTTTTGATATACCTTTCAGGAAATTTCTCTGTTTTGAAATGAATGTTAAATTGCTTTCTTTATGGGACTAATTTATGTAGGAATTTATTAAAAAGTATCTAAAGGTATTCATTTTAAATTTGATATATGGCCCACGGAAGATTTGCGTTTCAAAATCGCTATAAATCGAGTGTAAACTTAACCATTTCGTAAACCGCAAACCTTCTACTAAATATCTGACACATTGAACATGACATTTGAAATGTCAAAGTTAAAATTATTGATAGTTCAAAAAGCAAACCTTACATGAGCCGCCCTGTATGATTAAAGCAGCAAAACTTCAATAAAACATCAAAAAGAAAGCAGAGCGTCGTTAAACATAGTTTTTAACATTTAAAATTTATAAAAATAAAAGCTTATAAATGCTTAAAAGTGTGAAAGAATAGCTCTTCATGCACCAACATCTCA